TTAATAAACTAAATACTATTATATTTTATTATATTTAATAATTCTTTAATAAGCTAATTTATTTTCTTATATATTTATTATTAATATATTTTATATATTATTAATTAAATAGTATTAGCAGGCTATTATAGCTTAATTAAGATTTTTTTAATATAAATTTTAACTATATATATTACTTATATTATAACTTATTATAATAATAATAATAATAGGCTTTTTTTATTATTATTAATATAAAGAATTAATATATTATATTTTATAATATATTAATTTATTAAAAGTATAAAAAACTAAAAGTATTATTATAATATAAAATAGCCTTATATATATAAATATAAGTAAGTTTATATATTATTATTATATAAGTATAATAACTTTATACTATTTTTTTAAAATACTACTTTAAAATTTTATAATAGCTTTAAGCTATAAAAAAGTCTTAAAAGGCCTTTTTTTAAAAAAAAAAGTAATATAAAAAAAAAAGCCTTTATTTAAAAAAAGAGTAAGTATAATATATTATATATATAAAAAGAAAAGAGTTATTTTATTATAAAGAATTTTTAAAGGTATTATTATTATTATTTAAATATAATACTAGTTTAGTAATTTATAAAGGTTTTTAATAATTATAATATTAAATTTAAGGTTTTAATATTATTAATAATATTATAATATAAACTTAATAAACATTTATAAAATTATTAATATTTTATAAATAAAGTATTAAGGATTTTTAAAAAATCTTTAAGAATTTTTATTTTTTTTTTAAAAAAGAATTAAGCTATTTATATTTTTAAATATTATTAATATAAAAAAGTCTTTTTTTATAATTTAATAGTTTTATATATTCTTAAATACTTTTTTTATATTTACTAAATCTTATATTATATTAAGTTTAGTTTTAATAATTAAAAAAAAGAATATTAAATTATTATTTTTTTTTATTATATTTTTTCTTTTATTTTTTTAAAATATAATTCTTAACTTAACTTTTTACTAGCTTAATTAAATAGTTTTATATAATATAAATCTTTTTTAAATCTTTTATAATAATAAAAAATAAATTATATTAAATAATAAATAAGTAATTTAATTAAGTTTTTTAATAAATATACTTTTTTTTATTTATAAAAAGTATATTAAAGACTATAGGATTTATTTAAAATAGTTAAGTAGTTTATAATATAGTTTAAACTTAAAGTAATTATTAATAATAAAAATTTTAATATTTAAAAATATAGTTTTATAAAGATTATACTTTTATAAATATATTAACCTTAGAGCAGGTTTAATTATTCTTTTTATAAATTTTAATACTTTTTTTTTTAAAAATACTAAAATAATAAAAAAGATATTATTAATAAATCTTTTAAAATAAGGAATTTTAAAATAATCTTTAATATATTATTTATATTTATTAATATAAAGGTTAATAAGATTTAATAAGTATATAACTCTTATTACTAGTCTCTTTTTTTAATAAAAATACTTTAATTTATTATTTTTATTAATATATTTAAATATTAAGAATTTATTTATAATTTTATATAATTTTCTAATAAGTTTAACTCTTTTAAAGCTATATCTTGCTTTTAAGTATTTAAATATACTTTAAGAGTATATTATTAATAGTATTTTTAATAATATATTTATATAATATAATATAATATTAATAATATATAAATAAATAGTTTTTTTATATAGAATTTATAAAAATAAAAGTATTTTATATACTTATTTATTAAAAATAAGAATTTATAAAAAAGCCTTAATAATAAGCTTTAGTAGTTTTAATAGTATTTTAATAATAAGTTTATATATAGCTAAATAGTATAATATAATAAGTTTAAAAGTATAAGGTTTTTTATAAATCTTAAAAAGTTTTATAAATATTAAAAAAGTTCTTTTATATTTTTTAATTAATTATAAAAACTATATCTTTTATTTAGTTAATTTATAAAAATTATATAAGTGTTTTAAATTAACTCTTAAAAATACTTTTATATTATATTAAGCTTAAGTATTAATTTTACTAGTATTATTTTATAATATAATATTATATATATTAAGATTTTATTAAAAATATTCTTTTACCTTTTTATAATATTAAAATAAAAATATAATTATAACTCTTAGGTTTTTATTAAATATTATAGCTAATAAATTATTATTAATTAAAAATCTATAAATATATTATATTATAATTTTATTTTTAAAGACTTTTAGTAAGTTTTTAATAAGTTTTAATTAATTAAGTAAGTTAAATTTCTTTTATTAAAAGCCTTATTTAATATAATATATAGCTTTAAGTAGCTTTTTTTTAAAAAATATACTTAGATTATAATTAAGATTATAAGGCTTATAAGTTAAATTATTAAAATAATATTTTTAGTAAATATATTTTTTAAAGTTATTTTATATTTTTAAAAAAAGAATAATATTAAATTTAATATATAAAAGATAATATATATTTAATATTAAGTTATTTTTAATTTTTTTTAAAAACTATTACTTTTTTTAAAATATAAATATTTTTTTAATACTTTTAATAGCTAATACTTTACTTAATATATTAAAAAGAATTATTACTTTTATATTTTAAAAAGGTATATATAATATACTATTTAAATATATAAATAAAATATTTTATTAAAACTTTTTTTATAATTAAATTACTTTTAAGTCTTTAGCTTTTTTTATATATATTTATTTATAATTTAAAAGCTAGTTCTTTATTTTATATTAATTTTCTCTTTTTTTAATTATATAAGTTTACTTATATTTTTTTAAAAGACCTTTTTCTTAATTAAACTTAAACTTATAATTAACTTTTAATAATTTATATTAATATAAAACCTTTATAAACTTATTTTTAGCTAAGGCTTATTAAACTAACTTTTTAATATATTTATTAATATTATTATTAAGTATTTTTAAAGTTTTTATTACTTTATTTATAAAAAAAGTTATTTAGTTTTTAATTTTAAATTTAGTTAATAACGTTTTATTATAGGGTAGGCGTTAGGTAGGTATTAAGAAGTATATTAACTCTTACTTAAGGTATGCTACTAAAAGGCAGGCAAAAGCCCTTATATACCTAAGGGAAAAGGGGCAGAGGCAGGGTTAAGCCCCTATAGCCTAGTGTACTTATATATCCTGCAGGCGCTGCTATAACACTTTTATAAATTAATTATATTATAAAATTTAATAATTTTAATAACTTTTATAATAAGTTTATTAATATTTTTATAAATAATAATAAAGTTTACTTAAATTTAAAATAAACCTTTTTTTTTATAAAAAGGTTATTTTATTAAAGTATTTAATATTTATATATTTTATATACTTTTAAAAAAGTTTTTATTATAATAAAAGTAAACTTATTACTTAAAGATACTTTTTATATTATTAAGTATCTTTTTAATATATATTTTTAATTTAAGATGCCTTTTTAAGTAAGTTAACTTTATAGCCTTAGCTTTAATTATAAAGTTTAAAGCTTAAGTTTTTATTTTAAAAAATAAAATTTATAATTTTTTATTAAGTATATTATTTTTTTTTTATAGCTTTAAGGTATTCTTTTAAATATTAAAATAGTAGCTTAATAATATATTAAATTTATAATAAAAAAGTATATAACTTTTTATAAGTTTATAATATTTATAAACTTTTATATACTTATTTATATTTTTTAATAATATTAATAAAAGTATAGAATATAAGTTTAAAATAATCTTTATATATTATAAAGATTATATTAATATAGTTCTTTATAATTATAAAAGAACTATAAGTAACTAAATACTATTACTTATTAATATTAAAGGTAATTAATAAAGTAATTAAAAAAAAGGAGATAAATAATTTAGCTATTATTATAATTATAAAGGTTAATAATTACTTTTATAAAATAAAGACTTATAATAAGTAATAAGCTATAGGTTTATTATAAGTTTAAAAAGTAATAAAAATAAAAAAAGTTATTAGCTAAAAACTAAATAATAACTTAATAAACTAAATACTATTATATTTTATTATATTAAATAACTCTTTAATAAGCTAATTTATTTCTTTATATACTTACTATTAATATATCTTATATATTATTATTATTATTATTATTATTATTATTATTATTATTATTATTATTATTATTATTATTATTATTATTATTATTATTATTATTATTATTATTA